TCGCTCCCTTCCCTTCCCTTCCCTTCCCTTCTTTCCACTTCGTGTTCGGCATTCGTATTCGGCGGATCCCGCTCCACCTCGCGTTCGTTGGAACTTTGACTCTGGCGCAGCTTCTCCGTTCTCGTCCAGTTCTATTATGCGCGTGTTGTGTTCGTTGAGCGGAGTCGGAGTGCAGCGCCCCTCGCTTCGTAGCCTTCCGTGCCCTGCCCTCCGCGCTCTGCCCTGCCCTCCCTTATGCCATCCGTGCCCGGCTCCCACTTCCCTTCCTTCCATTTCGTCTTCGTCTTCGTATTCGTTGGAGCGCAGACCCCGCTGTCCGATCTCTTCCCGCCGCGCACGCGGCGTTCTGTTGGCCGGCGTCGAGCGGAGTGGAGTGGAGTGGGGCATGGACTGGAGCGCGCGCGCTTCGCGTCCCCGCGTCCCTCCCTCCCATCCATCTCTTCTGAGACGAGCCCCGTTTGTGCTTGTACCCTACCTGTGGTTGTGGGGCCTGCGGTGAAGCGAGGTTAGCCCAAGTACCGTAGACCTTGCATCGATCCAATGGAAATTCAGTTTCGAAATGAGAATCCAATGCTGTGCTTTGAACCGCTGAGTCCTTTGCGTTCTGAATAAGTAACCCTTCGACTGTGCCTTTTTCTTCTGACTTGGGTGATACTAAATTTGAGACAAAAACGGGGGAAAAAAATGTCGTCCCACCGTATGACCCAGACCCGAATCGAACGGATGTCTTCCGCAGAACTAGACAAATACAATCTGAAGCTATGCGGATGCGAAACCACTTCGCCACCGGGTCCGTAGTCTACAGAGGAAAGCCACCTTGAAGAGAGAGCTGTGAACAATTGTGTCCAAAAAAATTAAACGAACTAATCAGGGAAAAAAGACAAGGAATGTGTAATGTGTAATGGCCCAGACCCGAATCGAACGGGCACCTTCCGCAGAAACCTTTGCTCTCTATCATCAAGTTAAGGTGGACGCGAACCACTTCGCCACTGGACCCATATACCCAAATAGCCCAGCTCGAATAGTATCCATAGCGGGGCATCCGAAAGGTCAACATCACGGTCAGTCTGCACAAGGTTGTGATTGCCTCGGCTGGTCCTCCAAAAAATGCATTACTGTGAATTGAGTGTGAAAGAACAATGTTAACGTGAAGGCCGAAGATCCCAGAGACAAACCAAAGAAAAGAGAGCCCGACGAAAGGTTAAGAAAAAAGTGAGGGAGAAGAAAAACAACACACAAATGTTATGACCCAGACCCGAATCGAACGGGGTCTTCCACGAAAACGGTAAAATTTCTTCATTCAAGATAAGCGGATGCGAAACCACTTCGCCACCGGGTCCATGCCCTATGCAAGCTTGAATACACCCACCACGGCGTCGGGAAAGCGAGAAAAATCTAGCACAATCTTAGGACCCAGACCCGAATCGAACGGGTGACTTCCGCAGACGCATGCATACACACAGCATAAGGTGCGCGGACACGATATCACTTCGCCACTGGGTCTATACTCCCAGTGACTCGAGCTCGATTAGAGACCGGTGAGTCCAACGTGCACAAGCAAAAATCAAACGAACTAAGCGGGAAAAAAATGCATAGAACTATCAGGACCGACCCAGACCCGAATCGAACGGGTGTCTTCCGCGGAAACCTGAATAGACAACGAAAGCTGCGCGGATGCGAGACCAGTTCACCACCGCTGTGCAGCCCAGCTCGAATACAAACTGTCCGCTGAAGCCATCCTGGACCCAGAATCGATGGATCGGATTTTTCTTTTGCTTCCTCTTCTACATAATTCGAGACTTGAGACTACCACATGAGGACTCGGAACTAATAGCTACCACGAAGGGACAGGTGGCATTTAGTGTTGAGAGAGAGGAGTGTTTGGAAGAAAATGAAAATTGTCAGACTCCGACTCGCCCCATTAAATTTACCAGGGAGCAGCACCGGCGAGGCTTGAAACTTGATGAATGTGGACGCGAATGAAAGAGTTGATAAAGGGGGGATTGTAGGTATCTACGAGCTTCACCAGTTGAGCCGCGTTGAGATGGCGTCAAGGATGCCGGAACGCAAAGCTGTGCCGTCCTCTCTCCTTGTAATAGAATGCAGATGCGGACCTATCTACTCTCACCAACATTATCATTCTTCCCGAAGGCCAGTGAGGAATAAAAACCTTTTCCAGGCCCACCGAAAAGAGGCTCGGGCCCGAATCGAACGGGCTGCTTCTGCATAAACTTTCTTCCTCTGGGTAATGGAATGCAGATGTGGGCCACCCACCACCGAGCCTTTCCTTACTTCTCTCTCGTCTTACTAACACCAGTATTCTCGTGAGCCTCCCGCCGCCCAAAAAAACGGAACTTTAGTATAGCTCGGGCCCGAATCGAAGGGGCCGCTTCTGCATGAACGTTCCCCAGAATGCATAGAACGCAGACGTGGGCGGCCCGCCCCGAGCCCTCTGTACCCTGTGCCCACTCGTACTGACATTACCATCTTTGCGAGCCTCCTGCAGCCTAGTAAAACAATTGCAACGCCATGGAATGCAGGCGTGGACCCCGTGCCAACCTTCCTTACCCTGTATCTGCTCTAACTATCATCACCATTTTTTGAACCTCCCGAAGCCCAGTAGGAAAAAAGAACTTGATTAGAATTCTTGCATGGCTCCGGCCTGAATCGAACGGGCTGCTTCTGCATGAATTCCTTTTACAGACATAATGGAACGCAGATGTGGACCTCCCACCGCTGAGCTCTTCCAAGCCTTCAAATGCCTTGGATTATATTTCTGTAAGGGACGGACCTCGGCAGCGGGTGGAATGATCCGGATCCCAGGGTTGATTACTGATTAGATTAGATATGAATCTCCGACGGCCTTTTTGGCAACATAGAATGCAAGTGCGGGCCATCCACCACCGAGCCTTCCCCTACCTTCTCTACTCTTAGTATCTGAACCTCCTGAAGCCAAGCCCGGTAGGAAAAAAAAAATCTCTTGTAATTCTTGAATGGCTCGGGCTCGAATCGAACGGGCTGCTTCTGCATAAACTTTCTTTCTCCCCTGTGTAATGGAGCGCAGAGGTGCGCCACCCACCATCGAGCCTTCCTTATCTCTACTCTTACTATTACCATTTTTTGAACCTCCCGAAGCCCAGTAGGAAAAAGAAAACTTCCTCTTGAATGGCTCAGGCCCGAATCGAACGGGCTCCTTCTCCATGAGTTTCTTTGACATACATGATGGAACGCAGATGCAGACCATCCACCACCGAGCCGTTCCAAAACCTGAAATGCCTTGGATTATATTGTCGAGATTTCCTTCCAAAAAATCAAAGCAAGATATTTGCGGGATGGGATTGGAACAACCTCCTCCGCCTTGCTAAATTTCAATGCAACACTGATGGAATACAGGCGCGGGCCACCCACTACGGAGGCTTGTTTACCTTCTATCTACTCACCAATATCAGCATTTTGTGAGCCTGCGGATGCACAGCGAAAAGAGGAAGAAAAAAAGTATCCAGGTGCACTTGCCATGGCACGGGCCCGAATCGAACGGGCTCCTTCTGCATAGACGGTGCTTGGCCAAAGTCACTATGGAGTGCAGAAGTGGACCTTCCACCACCGAGCCGTTCCAAGCGCTCAAATGCCTTGGATTATGCTTCCCAGAATTTCTCTCAAACAAAAAGAGAAGATGTTTCCGAGGCTGGATTGGAATGACCTCCTCCGCCTTGCTAAAATTCAATGCCATGGAATACAGGCACGGATCACCACCACCGAGCCTTCCTTTCCCTCTCTCTACTCTCTCACTAAGCTTCCGCCTTTTTTGGGCCTCCCGAAGCCCCGTAAAAACAAAAACAAAAACAAGATTCCAGTCCCATGCCTCAGGCCTGAATCGAACGGGCTCCTGCTGCATAATGTTCTTCCTGAGTTACGGAATGCAGACGCAGACCATCCACCACCAAGCCTTTCTTAGCCTATCTCTACTCTCACCAACATCAGCATTTGCGCGAGCCTCCCGCAGCCTAATCAAGAAAAAAAAGATTTCTGGAAACTTTATTATAGCTCGGGCCCGAGTCGAACGGGCTCCTTCTGCATAAACATTCCCCGGAATGCATAGAACGCAGACGTGGGCGGCCCGCCCCGAGCCCTCTGTACCCTGTGCCCACTCGTACCGAAAATTACCATCTTTGCGAGCCTTCTGCAGTCCAGTAAAATAATTGCAACGCCATGGAATACAGGCGTGGACCCCGGGCCAACGTTCCTTACCCTTTATCTGCTCTACCTATCATCACCATTTTTTGAATCTCCCGAAGCCCAGTAACCAAAAAAAACTTTCCCTTGTATACTGCATGACTCGGGCCCGAATCGAACGAGCTCCTTCTGCATCAACAGTCATTGATCGAAACCCATGGAACGCAGATGTGGACCTTCCACCATCGAGCCGTTCCAAGCGTTCAAATGCCTTGGATTATGCCTGCCGGGATTCCTTCCAAAATATAAACGCAAGATATTTCCGAGGCCGGATTGCGACCTCCACCCTGCTAAATTTCAATATGACATTGATGGAATACAGAGCCTTATTTACCTTCTATCTACTCACCAATACCAGCAATGACGCGAGCCTCTCGAAGCCCTGCAAAAACATAAATAAAAAGATGACGAACTCATTTCTATGGCTCGGGCCGGAATCGAACGGGCTTTTTCTGCATCGACCGCGCTTCGCGAAATCATGGGACGCAGACGTGGGCCACCCACCACCGAGCCTTGCGTACCCTCTCTCCACGCCCTAACATCAGGATGTCACGGGCCTGCGGAAGCCTGGTACCGAAACTCCGAGTCGTGGATGGGTGCCCGTGGTGCTAATACTGGATATAGTTGTCGCCGAAAATCAGTCCGGGTCTAGGGGTCAGTCGTTCTTATGAATATGAAAATAATGAGCCAAGTCAGGAAAGAGTGAAAGAAAAAATCCTCACAAATGCTCTAAGGAGGGAAAAAAAGAGGACTTCGCTACTTTATTATGACCCAGACCCGAATCGAACGGATGCCTTCCGCGGAAAGTGCAGACACATTTGACCCGTAAGTTGAGCGGATGCGAAACCACTTCGCCACTGGGTCTATAGTGCTTGGTGTCCCAGGTCGAATACATAGCAATCGACTCTTGCGGATGTGGCCGGAACAGCCTCCGAGTCCCAACCGAGTCCATGTTTTTGCGCGAGAGGCTTGACTCTTGATAGATCCAGCCGAGAGCCAGGTATTGTTGGAGGGTCGTGTCGACCTCGTCGTCGTACCAGTCGTGCTAGAGCAGTCGCCGATCGCCGGCGAGCAGCGAGTCGAAACTTGAAATCGAGAGTAAGGCTCCAACCGTTTCCGTTTGTAAACGGTTTTAAACGGTTTTAACCATTTTTATTTCCATTTTGTTTGGGGTGAAGTCCAAACGGTAAACAAATGGTTTTTAAATGGTTTAAACGGCTCTACGGGGGAGGGTCTGCGATGTCAGTCCTCAAGGTTGAATGTGATTGTTGAAATATTGAGATTTAAACCATGGCTCACCTCATGAAGCTCAAGGCATTTTTCCTTGGTCGCAACTGGCCCTGAAGTCGTTGGAGTAATCCATCAATGCGACGGGATCTTCCGGCGTACCTATTCAACCTTGAATCTGAATGTGGAAATAATTGAAATTCCGTTGAAGGAAACTAACGAATCTCATCTAGGTTTCAGGAGATATATAAAACAAGAAATATACACTGGCACCAAAATGCCGTTCGACGTTGAGTAGACTATGTCAAGATACGCAAGCCTCAAACCGCGCACGGGTCTCTCAAAGACTCTGAGGCCTACTTGGGCCCCACCGACGTCGAAAATGGGTTAGGCTTTGGCTTGAAGCCGAGCTTCCCGAGCCCAGCAACACTGTGGCTGTCGCTGAGGTAATATACCCGTCGTTCAACTCTGGTTTCTTGCTAGTTTCTGCCATCCCCCAAAAAATACCCTTTTAAATGGTTTTAAATGGTTTTTAAACTGTTTAAATACCGTTTCCGTTTGATTTGCCCGGATCGTCAAACGAAAACTAAATGGTTGGAGCCTTAATCGAGAGGAAGGCGGTGCACCGTCTTTACCTTTGTTTACCCCTCCCACGAAACGAGCGCCCACTGCGTCTGGCGCGGGCCAAGGACAAACAGCTCGCGGGCAGGGACGGCACTACTAAAGCAAGCGGTCAGCGCCCTCCAAACACGGCGTTGGCGTGCGCCTCTTCTCGGGAACCTGCAGGCTGAATCTGCGTCAGTCTTCAGACGTGTCAGATATGCAAACGCGCGCCGCAAGCTGGCTCAGCATTCAGCATATCGCCGACGGTGGGCGGCGCAGATCGGTGCGCGTTTGGTACAAGTTGCGTGAGTCTCCTACTTCGTGCCCTCGCTGCCTCCTGGCGTCTTTCGTCTTTTCACGTCCGTCCGTCCTCTTTCGTGCACCCCCCCTTTGTCCGGCTCCCAATATTAATTGGTGTTCAAACCCACTCGTCGCGTGCCCGTGCATCCTCCCCTTCCGCCCCTGACCCCCTCCTCCGCTGCGCGAGCACGGTGTCGTCATGCTCGTGCGCGGCGCATCCGACGGCGAGGTGCACCCGTCCCGTCTCATAAAGGCCAGCAAGGCACGGAGGGGACGATGCGCACCCAGTCCGGTGCGGGACAGCGCGGCACGAAGCCTTTCGTCTCGGGCTTTTCGATTGCCGTTCATCTCATGCGCATACTCCCTCCTCTCCCCTTCTTACTCGCTCCCTTCTCTTCCCTTCCCTTCCTTCCACTTCGTATTCGGCATTCGTATTCGGCGGATTCCGCTCCACCTCGCGCTCGTTGGAACTTACCGCGGGTGGGTGCGGCAGCGGCGAGGGCGCCACCTGAGCGACGTCCACAACCCGCCGCGCCCTCCCGGCGCTCTCCGCCCCATCGCGCGGCGCACGTATACGCTCGTGCAGCGCCCGCGCCTCCACAAGCGTTGCCGCGACCCTCTGCGACTCCATTTGCATCACGCGCGCCGCACGGCCCCCCGCAGTGCTCGTGCCTGCGCTCCTGTCCTCCCGGGCGCCAAGGATCGCGCGCAGCTCGCGGAGGCCCGTCTGCTCGCGCACGATTCCTCGCAGAAGGCTCGGCGTGGAGGGGCGCGCCTGCGCTCCTCCGCGATCGCGGGCCGCATGGAGGCGACGCGGTCGCGCGGCGCGGTGGACGCGGGGGCTGACAGCGCGGGTGGGAAGACCACCGTGCTGGGGTCGGACGTGATGTCGAGAATGACGCGTCCACGGGCGCCACTGGCGTGTGCTCCGTGCCCAAGAGAGCGACATCCGCGCGGCCGCCGGCCATATGGTCGCGCCGCGCGCAGCAACTCCGTCGCCTCGTCTGCGGCCCCGAGCGCTGGTATGCAGCGGGGAGCCGTGCACATGCGTCTCCGGGTGTAGCATCTCCCAGCGACGCGGGCGCGGCCTCCTGCGTCTATTACGCGCGCGTTCTGCTCGTTGAGCGGCGTCGGAGTGCAGCACCCCTCCCGTCATAGCCTCCCGCGCCCTGCCTCCCCTCCCTTCTTACTCCATCAAAACATGCCCGCCTTCCACTTCCCTTCCTTCCCTTTCGTCTTCATCTTCGTATTCGCTCCGCTCCGTATTCGTCTGAACGCAGCCTCGGCGCTTCTTCTTCGTTTCCGTCCTGTTCTGTTGGCCGGAGTCGAGCGGAGTGGAGTGGAGGAGTGGGGGCTGGAACGCGCGCGCGCGCTCCGCGTCCCTTCCGCCTCTTCCTTCCTCCCTCCCATCCATCGCTTCTCAGACGAGCCCCGGATGTGCTTGTACCCTACCTGTGGTTGTGGTGCCTGCGGTGAAGCCAGGGTATCCCCAAATACAGTAGAGCTTGCGTTAATGGAATGTCAGTGTACGTTCGCTCACATCTAAGTTCGGCGTAGCAGCAGCGTTCCCTGCAGCTGCTTCGCTCGGCACTGCCTTTGAACGCATTCGACACTGCGTGTCGAACGTCCCTGCGTTCTGCTTGCCTTTCTTCTTCGCGCGATACATAGCACTTACCTATGTAGTGCTAAAGGAAATATCATAGATTATCTATCCCCTGACTTGCCACTAGTTTATTCCTTTGACCTCAAAAGTGTTTCGGTTTCCGCCATCACTGATGTTCTTCCGTGAGTTCCAGGGAACGATAGAAAAAGTGAGGCAAATTTAGAAAACGGGAAAAAAAAGTTGTTCAATTTATGACCCAGACCCGAATCGAACGGGTGTCTTCCACGGAAGGAACATTCACGGTTGCTTAAGTTGAGCGGATGCGAAACCACTTCGCCACTGGGTCCACACTCTCCAGGGGAATGCTACCTTGAATAGAGATTGGCATCCATGGCCTTGGCTCCGGTAAGGTCTGTAATTGCCTAGGCTGGTCCTTCAAAAAATGCATCACTGTGAATTGAGTGCGAAGGAACACTGTTAACGTGAAGGCCGAATATCCCAAAAACGAAGCAAAGAAAAGACTGCCATTGGAGACGTGAACCCGACGAAAGGGTAAGTGAGGGAGAAAAGAATTTATCACATAGTCACCACGACCCAGACCCGAATCGAACGAGTGTCTTCCACTCAAACACTAAAGTTTCTTCACTCAAGATAAGCGGATACAAACCACTTCGCCACTGGGTCCATGCCCTATGCAAGCTTGAATACACCCACTATAGCATCGAAAAAGTGAAAGGCGAAAAAAAAATTCGAGCACGATCTTAGGACCCAGACCCAAATCGAACGGGTGTCTACCGCGGAAATTCGCTGAAACCGCCTATGATAAGCGGACGCGATACCACTTCGCCACTGGGTCTATACTTCCAGTGACTCGAGCTCGATCAGAGAGCTGCGAGTCCAACGCGCACAACCAAAAATCAAACGAACTCATCAGGAAAAAGGGATGAAAGAAGTATTATGACCCAGACCCGAATCGAACGGGTGTCTTCCGCAGAACTGCCTTTCCAGTCTTCCAAAATGGACGGACGCGAAACCACTTCGCCCCTGGATCCATGCACCCAAATAGCCTAGCTCGAATAGTATCCCTGGCATGGCATCCAAAAGTCCAACATCACAGGTCGGTGTGCACAAGGCGGTAATCGCCTCGGCTGGACGTCCAAAAAATGCATCAGTGTGAATTGAATGTGAAGCATCAATGTTACCGTGAAGGCCGAAGATCCCAAAAACAAACCAAAAAAAAAAAAAGACAGCCTGCTACCGAAGGCGTGAGCCCGACGGAAGGGTAAGAAAAAAGTGAGGCAGAAGAAAAAATGACACACTTGTCATGACCCAGACCCGAATCGAACGGATGTCTTCCACGAAAGCCTTCGCAATCACCGCTGAACGTAAGCGGATGCGAAACCACTTCACCACTGGGTCCATGCCCTATACAAGCTTGAATACACCCAAAATAGCATAGAAAAAGCAAGAGTCGAAAAAAAATCTAGCGCGATCTTAGGACCCAGACCCGAATCGAATGGGTGTCGTCCGCGGAAACGGGAATAGACGACAAAGCTGCGCGGATGTGGAACCACTTCACCACTGGGTCCATACCGTATGCAGCCCAGCTCGAATACAAACTATCCGCTGAAGCACTGGTGGAAGATTTCGAGTTTTTGAGTGAAAAAATTGGTGAAAATTAGTTTGGGTTTTACACAAGTTTTTCGCCAAAAATATAGGTGAAAAACTCAAGAGTTTTTCAGCAGTTTTCCTTTTTATTTTGAAAATTTCACCTAAAGTTGGAAAACTTTTGAAAATAATTCAAGTTTTTCACCTACATTTTTGGCAAAAAACTTCTGTAAACTCAAAACATTTTTCACCAATTTTTTCACTGAAAAACTTGAAATCTTCCACCAGTGAAGCCTTCCCGGACCCAGAATCGATGTATCAGATTTTTATTCTTCTTTTTACAGTACATAATTCGATTCCGACGCGAAGACCAGACATGGAGTGGAGAGTTGGGCAAATGCGGCTCAGCGTTACCGTTTCAAGGAAGTACTTCGAAAGTCGAGGGTACAGCCTGAGGACTCGGACCTCATAGGTGCCGCGAAGGAACAGGTGGCATTTAGTGTTGAGAAAGCGGAGTTTTGGGGGGAAAAAAATGGAAATTGTCAGACTCCAACTCACCCCATTAAATTTGCCAGGGAGCAGCACCGGCAGTATTTTGCGGCGAGGCTTGAAACTTGATGGATTTGGATGCAAATGTGAAAGAGTTGAGAAAGGGGGGATTGTAGGTGTCTACGAGCTTCATCAGTTGAGCCGCGTTAAGATGGCGTCAAGGACGCCAGAACGCAAAGCTGTGCCGTCCTCTCTCCTTGTAATAGAATGCAGATGTGTGCCTCCCACTACCGAGCCTTCCATACCCTCTATCTCCTCTCACCAACATTTTCATTCTTCCCGAAGCCCCATAGGGGAATAAAAAACTTTTTTAGACCTACCGAATGGCTCGGGCCCGAATCGACTGGCTCCTTCTGCATAAACTCCCTCTGAAAAGTATAATGGAACGCAGATGTGGACCTCCCACCCCCGAGCCGTTCCAAGCGCTCAAATGTCTTGGATTATACTTTCCAGAATTTCTCTCCAACAAAAAGAGAAGATGTTTCCGAGGCTGGATTGGAACGGCCTCCTCCACCTTGATAAAATTCGATGCAACATTGATGGAATACAGGCGCGGGCCACCTACCACGGAGCCTTGATTACCCCTCTATCTACTCAGCAATATCAGCAATATCAGCATTTTTTGGGGGCCTCCCGAAGCCCCGTAAAAATAACAATAAAAATAAATTCAAAATTCCCTTCCCATGGCTCAGGCCCGAATCGAACGAGCTCCTTCTACATAAACTGCCGATGAAATGGTAATGGAATGCAGATATGGGCCACCCACCACCGAGCCTTCCTTGCCTTTTCTCTGCTCTAGCTAACATCAGCATTCCCGTGATCCTCCCGTAGACCAGTGAAAAAAATGCATACTGGTCACCGTCACATGGCTCGGGCCCGAATTGAACAAGCTCCTTCTGCATAACCTGTCCTCCATCATGGAAAGCAGACGTGGACCTTCCATCACCGAGCCGTCCCAACCCTGGAAATGCCTTGGACTATACTGTCCAGATTTCCTTCAAAAAATAAACGCAAGATGTGCCCGATTGGATGCATTTGTAGGAAAAAGAACTTGATTAGAATTCTTGAATGGCTCCGGCCTGAACCGAACGGGCTCCTTCTGCATAGACAGTGCTTAGCCGAAGTCACTATGGAGTGCAGAAGTGGACCTTCCATCGAGCCGTTCCAAGCTTTGAAATGCCTTGGATTATACTCTCCAGATTTCTGTAAGGGATGGAGCTCGGCAGCGGGTGGGATGATCCGGATCCCACAGTTGATTGGTGATTAGATTAGATATGGATCTTCTCTACTCACCATACCAGCATTTTTTGAGGCCTCCCGAAGCCCCGTAAAAACAAAAACAAAAACAAAAACAAGATTCCATCCGCATGGCTCAGACCCGAATCGACTGTATGACCTTCTGTGTCAGACATAATGGAAAGCAGACGTGGGCCACCCACCACCAAGCCTTTCTTAGCCTATCTCTACTCTCACCAACATCAGTATTTTTTGAACCTCCCGAAGCCCAATAGGGAAGAAAAGCATGCTTGGCACTATTACATAGCTCGGGACCGAATCGAACGGCTCCTTCTGCATCAACACCCTTGATCAGAACCCATGGAATGCGGACGCGGACCTCCCACCACCGAGCCGTTCCAAGCTTTGAAGTGCCTTGGATTATACTTGCCAGGATTCCTTCAAAGTATAAACGCAAGATCAGGATGATCTCCTGCTGCACTTGATTACATCTCCAAATTTTAATGCAATGGAATCCCTCCCGCCACCGAGCCATGTTTCCTTACCCTCTCTCTCCTGACTCACATTATCATCTTCCTCAGCCTCCTCAAGCTCAGTAGGAACGAAAAAAAGAAAGTTTCTGTGAATCGTGGAATGGCTCGGGCCCGAATCGAACGAGCTTCTTCTGCATCGACCGCGCTTCCGTCAAACCACGGAACGCAGATGTGGGCCACCCACCACCGAGCCTTGCGTACCCTCTCTCCACGCTCGCTAACGTCAGGATTTTCACAAGCCTAGGACCGAAAATCCGAGTCGTGGATGGGCGCCGGTGGAAGTTCTCATACTACCAGATATAGAGTCTCCAGACGTGTCGCCGAAAATCAGTCCAAGTCGTTCGTATGGATAGGAAGATAATGGGCCAAGTCAGGAAAGAGTGAAAGTAAAGGGGGAAAAAATCCTCACAAACGCCCTAAGGGGGGAAAATGATGACCTCACGAATTTATATGACCCCGGGCCAGACCCGAATCGAACGGGTGTCTTCCGCGGAAAGTGCAGACGTCTTCATCCCAAATTTGGCGGATGCGAAACCACTTCGCCACTAGGCCTACAGTGCTTAGTGTCCCAGGTCGAATACATACCAATCGACTCTTACGGATGTGGCCGGAACAGCCTCCAAGTCCATGTTTTTGCGCGAGGCTTGACTCTTGATAGATAAAACCGAGACAGACATTGCTGGAGGGTCGTGTCGACCTCGTCGTACCAGTCGAGCTAGAGCAGTCCCCGGTCGGCGGTGAGCGGCAAGTCGAAAGAGAGGAAAGCGGTGCACCGTCTTTACCTTTGTTTACCCCTCTCGTGAAACGAGCGCCCTCCAAGCGCCATCTGAAACAGCTCGCGGGCACGGACGGCACTAGCAAAGCAACGGACGGCGCAGGGCACGAGCAGTCAGCGCCCTCCCAACACGGCGTTGGCGTGCGCCTCTTCTCGGGAACTTGCATCTGCATCGGAGGGGGAAGACGAGGGCCGAGGCGCGGGTGTCAGATATGCAAGTGCACACCGCAGGCCGGCTCAGCGCTCAGCACATCGCCGACGGTGCGCGGCGCGGATCGGGGTGCGTTTGGTACAAGTTACGTGCGTCTCTCTTTCTGATCACTTTGTGCCCTCGCTGCCTCCTGGCGTCTTTCGTTTTTTTACGTCCGGCTCCCAATATTACTTGGTCCTCGCACCCACTCGTCGCGTGCCCGTGCACCCTCCCCTTCGGCCCCGTACCCCCTCCCCTCCGCGTCGTCATACTCGTGCGCGGCGCATCCGACGGCGAGGTGCATCCGTCACATAAAGGCCGGCAAAGCACGGAGAGGACCATGCGCGACCAATCCAGTGTGGGACAGCGCGGAACATCACCGCACAGCACGACACCTTTCGTCTCGGGCTTTCCGGTTGTCCGTTCATCCTCGTGCGCACACTCGCTCGTGTATACGTACACCCGCCCCACTCCCTCCCGTCCCATCCTTCCTTCCACCTCGCATCCTGCATTCGCATTCGATGAGCCCGTTCCACATTGCATTCGTATCCGACATTCGTTCGAGCCCGCTCCACCTCGCATTCGCATTCGTCTGAGCGCAGACTTGGCTCTTCTTCTGTGCTCTGTCCCGTCCAGGCGCGCCCGCGTGTGCGCCCCGTCCCCCGCTTCCCGTTATGTCTTCATCTTTCATCTTTCGTCTCCATTTTCGTCGAGCGGGCTCCGTCATCTGTTCTTCCTGCCCCTCCCGCTTTCATCATCGACCGGAGTGGAGCGCGCGCGCGTCGCGTCGCTTAATTTCGCCCCCACTTGCGTCCCCGCCTCCCCTCCTCCTCTCCCTCTCTCCCTCCTATCCATCGCTTCTGAGCCAAGCTCCCAGTTGTGGCCCACCTGTGGTTGTGGTGCCCGCGCTGAAGCCAGGGTATCCCCATGTACCGTAGAGCTTGCGTTAATGGAATGTACGTTCGCTTGCATCGAAGTTCGGTGTCGCAGCAGCATTCCCTGTAGCAGCGTCGCTCGGCACTGCCTTTTGAACGCATTCAACGCTGTCTGTTGAATGTCTGCGTTCTGCTTTCTTCTTCGCGCGACTAGTGCTAGAAGAAATGTCCTAGATTGTCTATCCCTTGACTTGCCACTAATTTATTCCTTTAACCTCAGAGACATGTGGGCTTTTGCCGTTTAAGTTACGATGTTCTTCCGTGAGTTCCAGGGAACGATAGAAAAAGTGGGGCAAATTCCGAAAATGGAAAAAAAAAAGTCTTCAAATACCGCAATATGACCCAGACCCGAATCGAACGGGTGTCTTCCGCGGAAATGCGTTTCCGGTTTTGCAAAGTGGGCGGACGCGAAACCATTTCGCCACTGGGTCCACACCCTGTAAGGAAAGCTACCTTGGAGAGATAGCTGTCAGCAATTGTGTCCAAAAAATCAGACGAACTGATCAGGAAAAAAAGAGAAGGAATGCGTAATGGCCCAGTCCCGAATCGAACGGGTGTCTTCCGTGGAAACCTCGATACATAATGGAAGCTGCGCGGATGCGAAACCATTTCACCACTAGGTCCATATCCTATAGCAGAATGTCGGCTTAAATAACACACTAAGCGGGAACGAAGTGAAGTCGCGCCCGCCTGGAATCAAGTGAACCTCCCAGCTAAAATATTCATGATCAATGGAACTGGGTTCGAAGACGACCAGAGCACAAAAGAAGTGCCAGAAACAAATGGAAGGAGAAGAAAAAAAGACAAATCAACAGATAGTGACCCAGACCCGAATCGAACGGGTGTCTTCCACAGAAAGCCCAATACTTCAATTGAAAGTTGAGCGGATACGAAACCACTTCACCACTGGGTCCATACACCCAATGACTCAAGCTCGATTAGAGACCGGTGAGCCCAACACGCACAACCAAAAATCAAACGAACTAAACGGGAAAAAAATGTACGGAGCTATCAGGACCCAGACCCAGATCGAACGGACAGAAATGTAGAGCACGATGTAAGGTTGGCGGATGCGAAGCCACTTCACTGGATCCGTGCCCTACGTTGGGATGCAAGCTTAAATAGCAACCGTTCAGTGCGGACACACCGTGCAGACGAGCATCACGGTGCTTAGATAACAACCCGAGAGAGCAGATTTCGCTTTCCCGCACCGGCAGGAGGGTATACATGTATCCGATCTCAGAGCAGAAGAAAGAGAATGTGTGAGCCCGCCCAAAGTAAGAAAAAGGGAAGGGGAAAAAAGGTCCTGAAAAAATGGATGACCCAGACCCGAATCGAACGAGTGTCTTCCGCGGAAATATATAAAACAAGGAAAGCTGCGCGGATGTGAAACCACTTCACCACTGGCTCCGTAGCATATGCAGCCCAGCTCGAATACAAACTGCCCGCTGAAGCCTTCCTTGACCTAGAAATCGATGGATCAATTTTTCTTCTTCTTTTTACAGTACATAATTCGATTCCGACGCGAAGACCAGACAGGGAGTGAAGAGTTGCACAAATGCGGTTCAGCGTTATTGTGTAAGGGAAGTAATTTGCAACTCGAGACTACAGCCTGAGGACTCGGACCTGGTAAGTGCCGCGAAGGGACAGGTGGCATTTAGTGTTGAGAGAGCGGAGTTTTGGAAATTGTCAGACTCCGACTTGCCCCATTAAATTTGCCAGGCAGCAGCAGCGGAATTTTGCGGCGAGGCTAGGAAATTGATGAATATGGATGCAAATATGAAAGAGTTGAGAAAGGGGGGAATGTAGGTGTCTACAAGCTTCACCAGTTGAGCCCCGTTGAGATGGCATCAAAAATGTCGGAACGCAAAGCTGCGCCATCCTCTCTTGGAGCGCCTCCCCTTCGAAGAACAAAGCGCCGTTCAAGGCGATCTCGAGTGTCGTCCCGTGGCTCTCGAGAGGGGACGTCCAATATCGGGGCCGCGCGCGCCGTGGGGATGGCGGTGGTGAGCACGATGGGCGACTGCTGCCGCCCCGTGCGGCAGGCGCAGTAGGCAGGCGTCAGCTCGGCCCAGTCGAGTGGACCCCAGGTGCCAGAGTAGCTGAAGGTGCTGACGGGGACGAAACCCTCCGCGTGCGGCTGGAGGTAGTTCCGTAGAGGCAGTTGGCCGCGGCGGTGAGAACGGATGAGACCGAAGTGAAGATCAGCAGATGCATATGGGAGTGGGTCATACTAGCACGCTAGCAGAGCATTGAGTAGCGAGCTGCATCGTTTACATAGGCCAGGAAGTACGGCGCTATTGTGCGAATGGAATCAGCTTGACGTTTGCGAAGCCGATGTTCGTTCCTCCGCAAGTTATCGTGCGGCCTCCAATGGTATCAACGTGTCCAAGCGGACGGGCAATGTCACTGCTGAAGTCTTCATAAAGCGATCCGAACTCCTAAGAATCGAAGCCGCCTTGAGGCCGAAATACGCAGCGGGATCTTCTTAACTCCGTGACTCCGATTCGCCCGATGCGAGTAAGGATGAGGCGGGAGACGAGGTCCAACGTACGTGCAACTGGCAGGGGGAATACGAGTCCTGGAAGCAGAGTCAGGGTGAGAGTCCGGCGCCGTGGGGCAGCCGGCGACGCGAAGGGATCGAAAGATGACGATGCTGGTAGAGCGCATTTTCAAGCCGAAGAAAGCTGGAGGGTGGAAACTTGACGAAGATGGACGGGGGATGTAGCCAAGTTGACGGCCTCTGGGCTCGGATCTTAAGTCCCCGTAGCATGTACTCGATTCCATATGGCCCGTTCGTATGAAGCTCGCCGTGGATATAGATCATCCGACTAGAGGAGCGACAATAGAGCGCGATGTCGGTCGACTGCCATTGTAGTGGTTGCGGTCAAGCCAAGTTATCCCCAAGTAGAACTTGCATCAATACCGTCGGATCAATGCACGTTCTATTGAGAAGCACTGCCTCAAGGTCAACACTGCCTGTTGAGGTTCGTCCTTACTTTCTGATTTTCTTCCTATTATTACTACTAGTACTGGTAAAATGTAACAGATTACCCCCTGGCTTGCCAATACGTGTCTGCTCTGTCGACTTTCGGATTTTCTTCTGATACCCAAGAGCGCTAGACTCCTAGTCGGAGAGATCTGACAGATTATTCGTTTGTTTAGTTGAGTTACTATTGACCTGAGCCACGCTTCGGTTTCTGGCTTTACTGAGGTTCTTGCGTGAATCATACGGGAAGTTAGACAAATTGGGAGGGAAAATATTTCCGGAGTATTCCATGACCCAGACCCGACTCGAACGGGCGCTTTCCGCCGAAATTTTCCTCATAAAAGTCGAGCAGACGCGATACCACTTCGCTGCTCGGTCCATACACCTAGAGATTTCTGGTGTTTCGCTGAGGCTCGCTTGGTGTGCTATTCAACCACGACGCGCGGGAGTTCGGCGTACGAAGCGCGGATAGTTCATGGATGAATTTCGTGCGAGCAAGAGGTCATGTGTTCGATTCCCGCAGGTAACAAAACATTTTCCCTATCTTTCTTTCTCTTCTCTTCTCTGTTTGACGAGCCTCTTCTGCATCGACCGCGCTTCGTCAAAATTATGGAACCGGGCGGCGAAGACGACATCCGCGCGGCCGTACGCTCGCGCCGCGCGCAGCAACTCCGTCGCCGCGTCTGCGGCCTCGAGCGCTGGGACAGTCACACCGTCCATGTATGCAGCGGGGAGCCGTGCACATGCGTCTCCGGGTGTAGAATCTCCCAGCGACGCGGGCGTCTATTACGCGCGTTCTGCTCGTTGAGCGGCGTCGGACTACAGCGCCCCTCCCGTCGTAGCCTTCTGTGCTCTCCCTCCGCACTCCGCGCCCTGCCCTCCCTCCCTTCTTACTCCATCAAAACATGCCCGCCTTCCACTTCCCTTCCTTCCATTTCATCTTCGTTGGAGCGCAGCCCCCACGCTCCGCTCTCTCTCTTCCCGCCGCGCCCGCGTTCTGTTGGCCGGGGTCGAGTGGGGCAGGAATGGACGAGTGGAGACTGCGCGCTCCTTCCGCCTCTCCACCCCTCCCATCCATCCATCTCCTGAGACGCGCCCCCGGTTATGGTCGTCGTGATTGTACTCAAGTCAGGTTATTCCATGTACAGTAGAGCTTACATCAATACAATGGAAGTTCGTTTCGAAATGAGAATTCAAAGCTGCCTTTTGAACCGCTGAACGTCGACAAACACTCCCCTTGCGTTCTGAATAAGCTACCCGTGGACTCTGTCTCTGTGCCTTTTTCTTCTAACTTAGCTCATACCAACCTTTGTGAGAAAATTTGAGAGAGCATGTAAGACGGAAAACGGGAAAAAGGAAGCTCTACAATTCATGACCCAGACCCGAATCGAACGGGTGTCTCCCACAGAACTAGATAAATATAATCTGAAGATATGCGGACGCGAAACCACTCCGCCACTAGGTCCATAGTCTACAAAGGAATGCTACCTTGAAGAGAGAGCTGTGAACAATTATGTCCAAAAAATCAGACGAACTGATCAGAAAAAAAAAGACGAAGAATAATTATCATGGCCCAGACCCGAATCGAACGAGTGTCTTCCACAGGACAATAACCGTACTGTACAAACTCTGCGGACGTGATACCACTTCACCACTGGGTCCCTGTACCCAAATATCCCAGCTCAAATAGTATCCATGGCGGGGCATCCGAAAGTCCAACATCACGGATCGGTGTGCACAAGGCTGTGATTGCCTAGGCTGGTCCTCCCAAAAATGCATCAGTATGAATTGAGTGTGAAGGAGAAATGTAAACGTGAAGGCCGAGGATCCCAGAGACAAACCAAAGAAAAGAGAGCCTGTTAGCGAAGGTGTGAGCCCGACGAAAGGGTAATTATAAGAAAAAAAAGTGAGGGAAATATTATGACCCAGACCCGAATCGAACAGGCGTCTTCCATGAAAACCTTTGCAATTCCCGCTGAAGGTAAGCGGATGCGAAACCACTTCGCCACTGGATCCATCCCCTATGTAAGCTTGAATACACCCACTATAGCATCGAAAAAGCGAGAGGCGAAAAAAAATCTTAGGACCCAGACCCGAATCGAACAGGTGTCTTCCACAGAAAGCCCAATATTTCAATTGAAAATTGAGCGGATACGAAACCACTTCGCCACTGGGTCCATACACCCAATGACTCGAGCTCGATTAGAGAGCTGTGAGTCCAACGCACACAACCAAAAATCAAACGAACTCATCAGGAAAAAGGGATGAAAGAAGTATTATGACCCAGACCCGAATCGAACGGGTGTCTTCCGCAGAACTGCCTTTCCAGTCTTCCAAAATGGACGGACGCGAAACCACTTCGCCGCTGGATCCATGCACCCAAATAGCCTAGCTCGAATAGTATCCATGGCGTGGCATCCAAAAGTCCAACATCACAGGTCGGTGTGCACAAGGCGGTAATCGCCTCGGCTGGACGTCCAAAAAATGCATCAGTGTGAATTGAATGTGAAGCATCAATGTTACCGTGAAGGCCGAAGATCCCAAAAACAAACCCAAAAAAAGACAGCCTGCTACCGAAGGCGTGAGCCCGACGGAAGGGTAAGAAAAAAGTGAGGCAGAAGAAAAAATGACACACTTGTCATGACCCAGACCCGAATCGAACGGATGTCTTCCACGAAAGTCTTCGCAATCACCGCTGAACGTAAGCGGATGCGAAACCACTTCACCACTGGGTCCATGCCCTATGCAAGCTTGAATACACCCAAAATAGCATAGAAAAAGCGAGAGTCGAAAAAAAATCTAGCACGATCTTAGGACCCAGGACCCAGACCCGAATCGAACGGGTGTCTTCCGCGGACGCTCGCATATACAGCATAAGGTGCGCGGACACGATATCACTTCGCCACTGGGTCTATACACCCAATGACTCGAGCTCGATTAGAGAGCTGTGAGCCAACTGCGCACACAAATTAAATAGGAAAAAGGGACGAGAAAAAGGCGATGACCCAGACCGAATCGAGCGGGTGTCTTCTACATGTTTCGAGGGAAACGATTAGCAGATGCGAGGCCATTTCGCCACTGAGTTCACGGTCTTACATAGGAATATCATGATGACAGAGAGCTACCAGTCCATGAGCCCCAAAATCAACGAACTAAGCTCTAAAAAAACTGTCTCAAAGACCAGAAATGCCCCAGACCCGAATCGAACACGTGTCTTCCGCGGAATCTACTCTACCTACTCAAGGTGATCGGGTACGATGCCACTTCGCCACTGGGTCCATGCCCACATGGGAATGGCTTGAGTGGAGAGCTGTGAGCCCACACCGACCAATTTTTCTTTTCTTGTTAAAAAAGTGGAATCCATTCAAACTCATGACCCAGACCCAAATCGAACGGGTCCGTAGAAATCTCCGCATTCGCCAAGTAGTGCGGATGCGAAGCCATTTCGCCGCTGGACCATACATACACCCGAGGATAGCAATCGACTCGGAAAAGGTTGCGCGAGATAATAGATATTGCGGGTAAGAGTCGTTCCTCCTTCCGTGTGCACTGACTGGTATGGCGGTCCAAGTGCACTTTTAATCAAGCGAAACTTTTTCGGACTTTTTTCGCGTTTTGCGAAACTTTCATGGCAAATTTGATGGTTTGCGAAACTTTTACTGGGCTTTGCGCATTCTAAATAAGTTTCGCAAAAAGTGCCATTCAGCGAAACATATGTTCGGCCGAACTTGACTTGCGAAACTTTTGTTGATCGCCCGCGAAACTTTTATTACCCGAAGTCACACAAGCGAAACTTTTAGTTGCCGGAGGACTTGGCGAAACTTTTATGAGCTTGCAAAACTTATTCGCGGTTTTGGACTTGTCAAAATTTACACAATGTTACATAAGGTCCAAAAAAAGAAAACGTAAGGGACTATACAAGGGTAGTCTCCCGTAATCACCGAGCACGCAGCGCCATGCCACCGGAAGCCCGTAACCAGTGCCTTGCCCTAGACTAGCATAGCCTTATATACCTTATATAGCTCAATTGAGTTTTTTTTTTTTGACCTTGATATTGTGTAAATTTTGACAAGTCCAAAACCGCGAATAAGTTTCGCAAGCTCGTAAAAGTTTCGCCAAGTCCTCCGGCAAATAAAAGTTTCACTTGTGTGACTTCGGATAATAAAAGTTTCGCGGGCGATCAACAAAAGTTTCGCGAGTCAAGTTGGAACGAATGTATGTTTCGCAGAATGGCACTTTTTGTGAAACTTATTTAGCATGCCCAAAAGCCAATAAAAGTTTCGCAAAAGCACAAAAACACGATATAAGTTTCGCAAAACCCAAAAAAGTTTCGCTCGAATAAAAGTGCATTTGGACCGCCATAGACTGGGAACGAATGAGCCTGTGAATGCATGTTCAACTTTTGGGGTTGGAGTCGGAGGATTCAATATTGCCGGGGTCCAGAATCCGCTACGAGGAAGGCGCACCCATTCTGGATCCGAGGCTAGCTCGACCTTCATCCTCGCTCCATGTACTCGACGGCGCGGAGTCCCCGAAAAAAACCTCAATTCCTGAACGACTCATATCTGGGCGCACCGTCGCACTTTGTGGCGGACCAGGTGCAAGCATTCCATCGCCCATATTTACAGTATCATGCGGCGACTTGCGTTCGTCACGAAAAAGTCGGAGAGAATTCCGCGAGCAGCCCGACGTGAAAATCCGGTAAACAAGTTATCTCGCCGCTCAAGTGGCAACCTTCTCTCTACTCGCGGTACGCTGACGGTGGCAAATCGGAGGAAAGAACGGTAATGTTGGTCTGGAAATCAAAAAAAATTAAGTCCCTGCTCATTCGGAATTCCAACATCGACGTGCCTGAGATTTGATTCAGCGACTGCTGATACAGAATTGAATATAAATGTAATTGAAGCGACAAAAGACGCACTGCAGCAAAAGAAGGTCTAGGATGATAACTTGCGCGAAGCCCTGGCGTTGAGTAGCGTACCTGCGTCACTTAAAATCGGCGTATGGACAGTTTAATTTCTTCAAGATTTATAGACGTGACTTGACCACGGAAATCAGCCCAGGCGTGTCGGAATGATGGCCAGATGGCTGGCTCGGCTTTTAGCCTGGCCACCGATTCTACGAGGCCAAAGCCAGAACATCACTAGGTAAACCTGCAAAATGAATGGGGGATTTGGCATAAAACACCTCAAGCAAAGACCAGAACATTGTAAGACTCTCCGACTACTTCTTTGCCTGCGTACGGAACGAGCGCTATAAGAAGTGTCAGCAATTTAAAAGGTTTGAAAATGTAGAACCTGTGCGCTCACCGTAACTGTTGACACACACCTTGCCACAGTGCGTACCGCCAGCTTTGCTGATCTCCACCTGGGCGACATAAATGCGATGCCCATCGGCCTCTACACCCCCTCTGTGTAGAGTTGATCAGCGCCGGTGTAAATTATCATTCTCGAGGGCTAACAGAACAGGGATAGCGCCACCGAGTTGGCTGAGAGAGAAGCGCCCGGAAAAGGGGACCCAACGGACGGCCGATGGACCTCCTGTGAGAATTTCGAAGCCCTCGTCGATCTGCGCGCAAACGTGAACAACTCCAACTCGGTTTTTCTAACTCACCTCAATTTCCTTCCCGTTGTAGCTGATATACATGTATCCCTTATGAAACTTGCCCGGATCTTTCGCCGCAAGAACGAAATGTCAAATCGAATAAGACCTGTGGTAATGGATTGCACGAACGGAGGCCACCCTGCGGCGCTGTATTAGCCCACATGCATTGCAATTGGACGAAATAATCACCTGGTACGGCGCCCGAGATACGTACATATCGTTCCCCAGGTCATTACCACCGACAATTGCATCCTGAAGAAGGACATCTGGATCTCCAGGTATCTGAAATGAGTACCAAGTCACTCGCTGATGGAGTACTAATGTCAGAAGATGATTTACCCATTGGACTGATGGTCGGATAACGATACCAGGACTTTCGATTCCGGGGGGTAGAAGACCTTCCAGCTTTTCAGAAGAGGATCAGTAGCGAACAACGTAGAATATTGAGGAAATACCCCCTTTCCCCAACGATCCTTGCAGTACTGTTCAAACTCGTTCAAAGCCGGATATTGCGGGGCGAAACCGGGTCCAAATTTCTGCTGAATAATTTGCATAGTGATCATATGATACGGAGAGGTAAGATCCAGAGGCGAATGCTTGATACTTTCATGAAAGACAGACTGCTGGGTGATCTGGGCGCTTTCAAGACGGGTTTCGTTTCCTACGACAGGACGCAGCGTAAAGGGAGTTTCCATGTAAGCGTTGTGCGGCTGGGACGTCCCCCATGGATCCGGCCGGACTTGGCTATACGATCGCAGGAACTCGAGATCCAAACTAACGATGGACTTGATTTCTCCCTGACCGGCAGATATAACCAGGCGAGATTAGAATTAATGTCTGAACAGAACGACTATACCTACCGCCATCCAAAAGGCGCTAATATCCGCCAGTTCATGACGCTGGTAGCCTCCACCGACATCAGAGTGTGCTCCAGCGAACCACACCTGTACGAGCTCAGTAGAGCAAGTCGAAGATAGCCCCGTACCTGTTTAAGGACTTGGTCATCCCTCAACCCACCCCGGGGGATAGTCCAAAGAGTGGGAAGAAACTTCTGCCGATTTTCCTGTAGCGAGATTGCATGAAGCGCAGTCTTCACCGTCGCCGGGAGACTCGTATCGACGATATCCAAAGCATCTATTTGGTGGTAAACGGAGCCGACGGTGTCCCAAACGCCGACACATCTGGACAAACTCAGCTGGCGATGAAATCCACAGGAGGTATGGGAAACCTACCTGATGCTAGGGCGGCGAGTGTCCGAAGGAATGGTGGGAGTTTTTTTGTCGACAAGTTCGCGCCAGATCTCAAAAAGTTACTAAGGTTCTGGCGCGACAACAAACCAATTCTGTCCTGATGGAATGACGGATATAAGACACGACCAGGAATCACCTCCATCACTCACGATCAAGCCGGATAATTTCCTAGCCGTATAAGCGCCTCTGAATTCGAAGTAAATATGAAAGTCCCATAAGTCAACGGTCCCCTACCTGGAGAACCTACAGAAGCAGGTCAGAAAACTCGATCCTGACTCGGTTTGAGGGAATTCTCACCCAAATAGACAGATTTGATCGCCGTCCTCAAAGTTTTGGGCGACAAACACGTAGGCATCCCGAATCTTGCTGGCTGTAGAACGTGATCGACTGATTGAGCGACTGCCGACAACCAGTACGTACCGACGGCGGTTCTGAGGGCCTCTATATCAACCAAAATGAATAACTCACTCAGATGAATAAGCTTGAAGAACGTACGCAAGGCCGTTGTACCAGTAACCGGATCGCCAGCAAAGTTTGCTTCAGAGCCCACGCCACTTTGATAAAAAACGATCTGCCTGTTGCCCTTCCTAAACAATAAATGTGCCACTGAGTGAGATGAGGACGGTTACTACGAACTCGTCGACACTCCTAACGGAACGCGCTGCATGCCATTATCAGAACTCAAGTTGAGGCGTTTTGGGGGCCGGCCAAGACTTACCGAGACGTAGGACGTTCGTGGCATACTGTGTGTTACCACCGCCGTCAACTTCAGGGACTGAGAGAGGTCGGATTCGGGTGAAGTGTACATAGGTCGTGACTTGACTCTCACCGGCTGCAAAGTCCTTGGACTCCGAAGTGGTTTGTATATCGTGCTGAGCCTCGGCGGATCCAGCCACTAATGGAGTAGAAACTCGGATAAGCGTGGCGGACGTCTAGGTGTTAAGTTGAGTCTTACCAGCGGCGAACTTGTCCCGGTCCAAGTCACTGCCGGTTGATCCTTACGAACATTAGCACAAGGATAGTATCGGTCTGGGACAGGCGAGGCTTACCCGGCGATG